TGTCTCTCCTTTGAGGGGCCTCACCCTTAGTCTTTAGGAGAGGCTCCCTCCATTCAGAGAGATTAGGTGAAATGGAAGGCATAGTGTTCCCAACAGCCACTTGCTGTCTGGGTACAAAAACAGCTTCATCCTTAACCTGGTGAGCCCTCTCTTGCTCAGTTCCCAGAACTTTGAACTATAGAAATTATCAAGTTGAGTGCTTGCCAAGAGTTTAGCCCTAGCTGCAGCTGTCACTGGGGAGTTTGAGAGATCAACCTCTACAGGTGCTATGCTACATCAATTCCTTTTGTAATTTCATTAAATGACCAGTGAGCAATGACCAGATAGTTTGACCAAGCAACTATTATATGAACAGAATGAAACAGTGGCTCACAAAAATACCTTCTTATTTGCCGATTTTCTGGCTATTCACCACCAACACCATCCGTGCCCTGCAATAGCTCTGCCTCTAACCATTTGGAAAAGTAGGATGTAAATCTTTGGGAAAATAGGAATGCCAGTTGCTTTGCATTTTAGTGAAAAGCAGACCATTTGGTCAGCTGGGCAGCCTGCCTCAGGCTGATTTAAATGGATCTTTCTGATCTTTCCTGATTCCTTCTATTATAAATCTCCGTGACTGTAGTTCTCCAACATCTCATAATTGAGGTCATAGTAATCTCCATAATCTCATCAAACACAGAAACAGATCATCTAACTCTTAAAATGTCATATTTAGAGGAGAATCCTCACAGTGAGACCCTCTCTTTCCCAATTCAGCCCCATCCATTTGAATGTCCTTCTTTTATCCTATGGTCCTAGTAGCCAATATAAGATAGATTTTCCAGAAGTCTGGTTGTATATCATAATGAGAATTGGATTTCCTAGTGAGTCATTAGGGCTGTTCTCAAGAGTGTGTCTTTTAATTGGCCCTTGGCAGCCTTCCTCTTCTTCCTCTAGGAATACTGGGTAAGTTTGAGGTGGTTTATGGAGAAGGACTAAAGAAATTTGCCCTTCCACATCCTGAGGAGAAGAGAAGTCAGAGAATCTTGTTTGGAGGAAGGCCAGCTGAATGCTGCCTGCCTGCTGTGGTTTCTTTCTTGAAAACCCAGGAAAACCAGCCAGGAGACAGTGCCCTCATCCCCTCATCTTCCCATCCCAAGCTTTAAACTCTAAATCTTCTCTCCAAATAGACCTTCCTCTCACTATATCACAGCTTTGTCATCTTCCAGCTCCTCTCTTCCAAAGCTGATTTGTAAAGATTTGTGTCTGTGAATTTGCCTTGGGAATATTTGCATCATTCCTTAAATGTAGATAAGGCATATTTGCAGATAAAGCCATTAAGAATTTACTATTTAAAGCCCTAGGCAGGAAACATAGTGTGTGGCAGTACTTACTGGGATCCTGTGCCTGTTTTCACAGTCAATATTGTTTTCTCTGTTTATTTTCTGTTAAGGCCACTGGCATCTTTCCAGTGTTGTCAGTCTCTGGTGGGAAGAGCAGACCATTTTGACCACTGGTGGTGTAAGAATTTTAATCATTGTGTCCCATGTAATGGGCAAAGTGCATATCCCTTTGGATTTTGGAGGATGTTTCCAAAGCACACCACATTTAAAATTTTTCCTGATCACCAAATACAAAATGAGGATCGGAAGAGGGAAACCATCAATTATCCCAAACTAGTCCAACACACGGCTATCATACCTTGAAGAGGGTAAGCCTCACAGTTTTAAATGATAGTCTAACAGAATTTTGAGTTCACTCACAATCTTATATTGCCAGTCAACTTCCCAGAATGTTTTAGGGAAAACTTCCTTTTCCCAGCCAGGCTTCAAAAGTAACTTAAACTGGGGCCGTCCCCGTGATTAGCGGTTAAGTGCGCGCTCTCCGCTACTGGCGGCCCGGGTTCAGATCCCGGGCGTGCACCGACGCACTGCTTGTCTGGCCATGCTGAGGC